TGTCAAAGATAAAACAAAGCCAGACATTAAAATGGTAAGGACAGATTTAAATCAATAATATACTGTTGCAGTAGGAAGAGGGCCCAGCTTGATCTGAGCTTGAAACTCAGCTTCAGTCTGTACAGAAGTAGCTGGGTGTTTCTCAAAGGGAGGATGAGTAGAGAGGTGGGTTAGTGGAAGCTAGGTAGTCAGTAAGTGAAAAATTACCAGGGGTGTATCAGTATAAATGCAGTTAGGCCAGCTTCCTCTACTAGTTAAAATTCTCTTCTCCCTCAGAGTGTGAGACCTGGTCTCTAGTCTTCCCGATGATTACATTTCAGAGGACTGATTTTTAGGTCCTTGAGAAAAATATCCCTGAGTTGTGGGAGATACACACACATCTATCTCAAAGGGACAAAGGAAGGATCTCCTCACTGTAAGCCCTTTTTAGTAAACACTCTAAAAAAAGGGTGGTCTGAGGCCTCTCACAGGGACGAATAGTAAATTCTTCTAGCATCCCAGAACCGTCTCAGGCATGCACTGTAAGTGGAACTAGGGCCACCCTTGAGCTGTTAGAGCTGTGTTAGTGTTTGTCTTTTAATGTTGCGGGGAGTGGTGGGGTGGTTGAACTCATTTGTGCTGAGTGTTCGCAGGTTTTATACGCCAAGACTGAGGCCTGCTTGAGAAGATAGCTTCACACTAACTAGATAGAGCCTGAATAGAGTTTAGTCAAGGAGAGAATCTTTGTCACCATACTCATGGGTGAAAAGTATGAGTGGTGTAGATAGTTTTGTATTTGTAATCTTTATTTTGTCTTTCAATTTTGAGACTGACAGAGTCACTTTAAACACTCCAGACATGAGTCAGATGGCTGCCATTCAAACCCCGGGAATTACACTGAGATTTTTTGTGGTGTTAGTAGAATCAAGAACTTAATTTTTGACAGTGAAAACATTTTGAAATCTATTAAGTTCACTTAAAATTGAATTATGTCCAAAATGATCTACAATGAAAATTACCTCTTTATATTGAATGGTAGGGAAACAAAGCAATGTGTCATTTATGATAGATGACAGAGCATAGTCAAATTTAATTTTATTTAAAAATTGGCTTTAATCTTATTTACCTATGTAATACTAGTTTTTTGTTTAGTTTGCTAAGTCTTAAATTATCATAAAATTAACTTGTTTATCAGCAAAAACTGATATTTGGAAGCCAAGGTTTTGATCAAACACTATTTTCATACCTGGTGATAAAAGTGCATTTTATTCTTCAGAAAGATTTTTTGGAATTGAAATTACTATGTCACAGGCAGTGAGCAGTTTTAAGTTTGTGGCTATGCATAGCTAGCTAGTTGCCTTCCTGAAAAGTGACACTATTTTGTACACATAGAGTACCCCTTTGGAAATACTTGCCACACTAATAGATAAAAGAAATGAAGATCTTTCTTACTAATGCATTTATTTAATTATTAATAAAGTCAGATGTTTATTGGTCATTCATATTTCATCATTTGTGATTGTCTTATACTCTTTCTCCTTTCTGGTTCCTTTTTTTCTTCAGATTTATAGGAGCTCTTTTTTCTCTTGTTAATTCATTTACGTCTTTAGTTTTTATCCGGTTTTGATTGTAGAAGTTTAATATTATTTTCAGTCATTAAAGTTTACTCATTTTCCATTGTTTTTATATTCAGAGAATGCTTTCTAGTCCCAGTATTTGATAGTTATCTATTTTCTTCTTGCATATTTATCATTTTAGTTTTATAAAAAAATTATTTTTCATTTATAAATTCTGAGATTTTGTTACATGATAGGAGGTGGGAACTGTCTGTGTGAGTATTGCCCATTGACTTATAGCGTGATGTAATGGAAAGACAAGATTCAGAAAATCTGGTTATTCTTGGGACTGTTTTTACAAGCTTTTTAACCTAATGCACTTATTTGGTTTCTAAAATTAGAATCATATTTATGTGTATGTTGGCCAGACACCAGAATGGCCCCCAACATTCCTGCCATCTTGTGTTTCACACCTTTATGTAGTTCCCTTCTCTACTGGATCAGGGAGAGTGTGTGTGACAAGTAAAATGTGGCAAAAGTAATGGTATATGGCCTGCAAGACTTACATGGTCATGCAAGGTAATTCAGCTTTTGCTTTCATCTTTTGGATAATGTACTCCCTCAGGGAGACAAGTCACCATTGTGAAGACTTAGGAAGCTCTGTAGAGACATCGAAGTGAAGAGCAACTAAGGCTTCCTCTCAGCAGTCAGTACCACCTTGTCACCTGTGTATATGAGCCACCTTTTAAGCAGATTTTCCAGCCCCTCCTGAATTCCTGGCCTGTAGACATTTTGAACAGTGATAAACACTTACTGTTACGTGACTGAATTTTAGGATAATTTGTTACTTAGGAATAGATAATACAGTATACAGGCAATTTTAAAAAATAACTTAAGATATGACTCTGAGCTAAATCAAAACCTGTGAAACACCTTAAACACCAAGATTTTTAAAGACTTTTTGTTGTCTGTGGGTATAGAAAGTGTGTTTTCAACAAATACATAATAAAAGGATACATTATCTAGTCAGATACCTAGTCCTCAAAGATTCAGATTGTTCTGTTGCCCTATTAAAACTAAGGAAGAATATCCTATGTTGACAGATAGTAACTGCACTAGTGGGGGGGAGGATTTAATAATATGGGTAACTGTTGAACCAATGTGTTGTATACTTAAAACTAACATAAGATTGTATATGACCCATACATTGATTAAAAAATTGGGGGAAAAAAACTAGGGAAGAATTCCTAGGAGGTAGGAAAAGTCAGCTTCTGCCTTACACGTTACCTAAAGACAGCTGTATCTTACTAATCTATTTTAGGTATTTATTCAGCACCTATCTGCTGTCAGATATTGAGGCTACATTACTGAATTAGACGGATAAGATCTGTGCTCTATTGGGGACCTCAGTTTAGTTGGGAAGGTAGATCCCAGCCCCCGCCTAGAAATTCTGCTGGTAAATCTATTGAAGGAAATAAGTTGGAGTAATGGTAAGTCTGCTTTAGGCTACTCAGGATTTACCCTCCTTCTCAGACTACAATACCTGGTACACATTAGGCATTCACATATTGAATGGATGACTATGTTTGAGTACCCTTATTCCTTCCATACCTCCCACAGACATACACAGGTAAATGGGAATTAATTTATATGACAGTCCTCCCAGTTTTATGACTTAGAATGTTCTATCTCAATCTTTTGTGTTCAGAACTGTGGAAGATTAGATGCTATAAACAGCCTCCCAATGCAGAACAGGTAATGTTCAGTTCAGATTTGGACCTTAGTTTGCCAATCCCTGGAATTGGGTGGAGTAGAGGTGATATTTTAAGAAATAATGACTAAATTTTTGAACACTGATGAAAAATAAATCCACAGATCCATGATATCCCAAGCAAAATGACAAGGGGAAAGTCAGACTTCGTCAAGTGAAATGCATGACATCAAAGACAAGCAACTAGAGAGAAAAACAGGTCATCTGCAAAATTTGTGCACTAGAATTGTGTAACTAGCAGTAATAGGAGAAGGCAGTGGGAAAACTACTTCAAAGAGTTTCTTCAATGAGAGATGATGATGATTATCAATATAAAATTGCATGACTAACAAATCTGTGAGGATAAGAATCCACAAACATTTACAGAATTAAAAAAAGAATTTATCACCAAGAGAACTACACTAAAGAGATTTTCAAAGGCTATTCTTTAAGAATCTACTCAAGACAGCTAAATATTTTAGGAAGAAGAGCTAAACCTCCAAATTCCAGATACTTAGAGAGAGAGATGACAGAAATAGAACACAGTGATGATCAGCAGAGTTTTCTTCAGATAAAGATTGTTAAAATCTAAATAAAACAAATTCTTGGTTTTAAGGGGTTTTTGTTTTTGGTACTTTTGTATTTCCTTTAGTTTCTCTAATTATTTTTATTAATGTTTTTGTGATGTGGAATGGAAATGAGGTTTATGGTAATATAAATAAATGGTTGGGGTAGGTGTTTCATAATGTCTTTTTTTTTTTTTTTGCAAAGAATTCTAGCAATTAGTGGTTCTAGTTTGTTTTGTTTTTTGTCTTTTCTGTACTTGGATGTTTAGTCAGTATGTTTATGCTGGAAATTTGGTAAATGGAGAAAAAAATGTTAACTACAGGAAAGACTACAGTCGAGGAAGGATGTACTCTAAGAAGAAATGTTCCATGATTTCAAAAGCTGTAGGAAGCCAGTGAAGATCAGTTGAAGTAATTGGCCTCATTTTGGATAATGAAGAGATCACTAGTAACTTTAATATATTTTTGTGGGATAGAAGAATCAAAATGACCTTCAAAGTACATATACACTAGTTACCTTAATAATAGGAAGGAAATATTTGACCTTACTAAAAAAAATCATCATGGCACTGAGCCATTTATTGAACACTTGCTGTGTGTCTGGGGTGGTGCTAGGAACTTTCTGTGTGGTTTTGTGTTTGAGCCTATGACAGTCCCTTTAGTTTGATGGGCTTATCTCCATTTTGTAATGAGGAAACTGAGGTTTTCCATAGTCCACCTACTTAAAGTACATCTAGAAATTTCAGAGCTGAAATTAGTAATGACCGAACCACCTGACTCTCATGCAGAAATTTTGTCTCATCCCCAAGTCTTACATGGTACCTTGAGCTGAAGAGCAAGTTTGGGCAGTTGCTGTGCTTCTGATCTAAGTATATGTATATGTTCTCTGAGGTTTGTACTGTGCACAAGAACAATTAAAGGTGTTGCGCGTGTAGTATGGGGAGAGGAGTCACTTAGCTTGGTGTGTGTGTGTGTGAAAGGAAGTGATCCTAGTCTAGGAGGGTCTACTGATAAAAATGCAAATACTTCCTTCCATGTGGAGCCAATGAGTAGTACTGAATTTGAGTAATTCCTGATATGTGGTTTTGATATTTCTAAAACATTTTTGTGGAAAAAGCTTTTATATTTGAACTTTTTTTCTTTTGGTAGTGGAAAGAGTGAAAGAACAATTAAAACTCACCTTGGAAAACAAGAATGGCATAGTGCAAACTGGTGAACTAACAATTGTACTTGATGGACTGGTGATTGAACAAGAAAATCTAACAAACTGCAGCCTGTCTCCAATGAGTAAGCTAACTTCTGTGTTTTTAAAATTTGAAGGGAAAAAAACCCAGCAAGAAGTATATCAAAAACCTAGGTTCTTTCTTCTTGTTCAGTAGAGATACAGCAAAATGGTGATGCCTTACATGAAAATGGAGAACCTTCAGCAACAACCACCAGGTAGGAAATTTTATTTTAGTATTTGTGGCAAAGTAACATTTCCCATATGTATAAAGTTTGGAATGTAACTGTAGTTTAGGGTTTGCTGTAGATTTAAACGTGTATCTAAATATGTTATTTCGTTGAATTCTTGTGGAAGTGTTTTTTTTTTTTTTTTAATAACAGCTTTATTGAGATATAATAGACATAACATAAAGTTCACCCTTTTAAAGTATACATTCCAGGGTTTTTAGTGTAACAGAGTTGGGTAACCATCCCACTAATTTTAGAAATTACCATTACTCTCAGTGATACTTGGTATCCATGAGCAGTCTCTCCCTGTCCCTCTCTCCTCCCAGCTCCTGGTATCAGCCGCCGATTTACTTCTTTCTGGATTTACCTATTCTGGCCATTTCTTATAAATGGAATCACACAATATGTGATCTCTGGCTATGGGCTTCTTTTACTTAGCATAAGGTTTATCCATAGTGTAGTGTGTGTCAGTACTTTATTATTTTTGGAAATTCCTTTTTTAAATCTATGTTAAGCATACTTTATCAGTAAATAGATAATATGGGAAAATGGGTATCTTATTGCTGTCTGAATTGGTAGCTTCCTGTAGATCACTAGAAGATAGATGCTCCACAGATGGTAGTTTTTCCTCAGAAATCATCCTGCCATCTCAAAAGCTCCCTTGTATTAACATCTGATGACAATTAATAAAGGCTTTCTCTTTGAAGTAATTTTGATTGGAATAAAATCATATAATAGATGAAATATAATGTCATGAACACCTGAAAACGTAAAAATATATTGCTGTAAAATTGAGTTGTTGAATTGTAAAAGCATGCTGGTATATGACAGTGTGGTTTTTATTAATCTACAGAGAACTTAATCTCCTTACTCTTCAATTGCCATTAAATAATTCTCATAGAGCACTTCAAGAGATAAATTTGTGTTCTGAATACACATTGGGCTAAGTAAGTATTTAGTGTTCATATTATGATTTAGATGGAGAAAATTTAGAACTGAAGGGGTACAACAGGTACATTAGTGTGTATATGTTTTATTATTTCTGAAATACAATTTTAGATGGGTAAAGGACCTTGAATTGCTACCAATCTGAAACCTAATGTTATTGCATAGTAATGCTTTTTGATTCAAAGATTAGTTCTATAGCTCCAGGAGAACTATCTTCAGATGGGTTCTTAGTTGACTCCTGGATCACTGATTCTTGGTGGGTGGCTAGGGAAAGGTGTACAAATCAGAATCATTTAGGGCTTTTTTCAGACTCAACCTCCCCAAACTTCCTGACCATATCTCATTCCAAATATATGGGTGACAAGGGAAAGGAGAGAGGCATTCATTCATTCATTCATTCGTCAGCTATTTATTGAGTGCCTGTGCTAGACAGTAGCCTAGGCATTAAGAATACCAGCCCTGATCCTGTGGAATTTTATTCTGGTGGGATAAAGGCAGATGGTGAGCAAGTGAAGAAGTAAATTAGCTAATCGAGGATAGCGATGAGAACTGTGAAGTCATTAAAACAAGACAAAGTGACAGGAATGAAAGGGAGTCTGTTTGAGAGAGATCAGGGGGGATTATTTCTGAGGAAGTGCCTTTAATGTTAAAATTAAAAGTAAAAAATGTACCATCCTTGCAGAATTCTGAGGGAAGAACATTCCAGGCAGAGGAAATAAGTGCGAAGATCCTGGGTTTATTTCTAGTTAATTTATGCTCCACAAATTCATCTCACTCTGGAATTTAATATTTAACCTTTTTTTGACAATCCTACAGTGATTATAATTTTACTACCTGTATATAATACAAATTTGTAATAAAAATTTAAAGACTTTTCAGCATGTTTTTCATATTAAGTAAAATCTATGTTAATACTTGCCTTAGAGAGAACTTAGAAATAGAACTAGATAGATGGCGCCGGGTGGAACCAGGGGACATGATCTGATTTATATTTTTTAGAAAACATTAAGACTTGTCTGTGGAGAACAATGTAAGGTGGCGTGTCTATTGGGAAAAGCTTTCCTGGTCACTTAACATAGTATTGCCTAACTCCCTCTCATTGCCAATAAGATTTTAAATGTTTGGTTTTATAAATTTTGTAGATTGATGTATTTACTGGCAACAAATGTATACGCTAAGTTCCTCTAACTGCGATATAATATTCAGCCTTTTCTAATGACCACATATTCATTATTTTAATGCCTATTTCATAGTAGATTTGTGATCTATATTTGAAGACTTTTTCAGCTTATTTTCCAGTCTTCAAAACAATTACAATAGCTTGGAATTGGTTTTTCCAAGTTTTATGAGCTTTTTGAAAAATCAGAGTATTTTACAATAAAGATTAATATTCTTAGACTTAAATATTTAAAGTATACAATTTGATCATTATTTTCAGGTACTAAATTCATTTTTACGTAGTATATTTATATACATCAATGTGGATACACTTAGGACTCAAAGTCATTTAAACTTTAATAAAATCATGCAATGTCTTCTTGTTCATTACTCTATAGTTACTTATCATATTTATCAACCTGCCAGTAAATATGTCTTATGGAAGTTCTGATGAAAAACTGAAGTAAGGCATCTTTTTTTTAAAGGTTGGCTGTTGAAGGTACTAATGGAATAGATGATCTTGTAACTACAAACACTGTAGTCCAAAACTCATGCTGTTCACATGTAGTTAATGGAGAAAGCACACGTTCATCTCCATCTCAGGTTGCTGCCAGACCCAAAAATACACCAGCTCCAAAACCACTTACATCTGAGCCTGTCAGTGATACTGGTAAGCATGGCAATTTATGACACATTGTTTAAAGGAAAATTAAATTAAATTTTCTGTATCTATGCCTATACTTCTCTTACTGTATAATCTTAATCTTCAGTTCTAATAGGAATTAAAAGATTACAGTGTCTGAAATTTTTTTGAATTTTGAATTTTTCTAGATTACTTAGGAAAATACTCCAAAAATAGTTTACAAATAACAACACATTTCACTAAGCAAGTACTTAAATGATAGCTAGATTCTCAGGCTTTATGACATGAAATATACTATTTAATTCATAATATAGATATATTTCTAAAAGGACTTTACTTCTTTTTAGTAATCAATGGTTCCTTTAACTTGTCTTCTGGTAGTAGATAAATATTTATTTCTTGGCATGTAACTTAGAAAAATGTACTGTGAACCAATAGAGCTTTCAGAAAGTTTTATATTTTCCAAGAGTAAGTATTACACTATTGTAGAAGGAATGCCTAGGAAAAATTTCTTCTGTCAACCTGTTTCTCAGTGCTTCAGCTGTGAAATTCATAACCACTTTTTGTTTGATCTTTATGTATTAATTCAGGTGAATCTCTTAAGGCTCAAACATCTTAGGACTTGATTTAGATGACTAACATATGTGTTGGGGCTAGAGTTGGAACCCCTGGTCTTTTGATTCCAGAGCCCATATTCTTTCCTATGTTTGTCTATTTATGGGAAAGTATTCAAAAGTACAGACATGTAAAGAAGCCATTCAGTAATTCAGTAAAAATATATAGGTTTATAGATAAAAATAATTGTATATTTAGACCCAAGATTAGGGAGATATTTGCCATGTGTTGTCCTGAGAGTTTTTGTAACTATAGAAACTGACATAGGAATTTTTAAAATCTTTTAGTTTGTTTTTAATGCTACCCTTTAGAAAAAGATGGATTTAAAGATCCTAAGTGCCTACAATAAGTAGAACTTTTTTAGTTATTAAGAGAGCTGGAAAATGAAGGGAAGATAAATACATATAACCAGGGTGAATTATGAGCAAAATGCATTTATTTTCTGATTCTGGTCTACTTTCCAGTAAGAACATTTGTCTCAAATTTATTAGCAAAGCAGAAAAGGAAACATCATCTTAGATTATTTACAACTGTCTCTAAATTAAGAACATATTCCATCTTTTGTGGATCTATATAAGAAGACACCCTGATGTAAACAGCATCCTCAATAATTCCAAGAAAGTAAATATAATAGTGAGTTTCATAGAACTCTAACTTAGGTATCCTAAATTAAATATAACAGTTTTAAAAAACAGTTTGGGGAAGTACTTATAGGAGGGACTGATACTTTTTTAAAAATACCAACACAGAAAAATGGCTTATCTGAAATCATAATTTTTCAAAACAAAGCATGAATCCAGTTCTTTTTGACCATGTTTTTTAGGTCATTAAATAATACCCATACCAGGAAACACAAAGGGAAAAAACCTAGTTAGCTACTCATGAGGAAATTTAAATTTTAACCAATGTAATTTCCTTGGGAACTCCCCAAAGAGGTTGCAAAAATAATAATAATACCCTTATGTGATCAGAGTTAACTAGTTATGTGGGATTATCAATGGATTCATAATGGTAGACCCAATTCCATTATTTGTGGAAGTAGTTAGATAGCAAGGCCAATTATTTATTAAGTCCATTCCTGATTCATGAAAAGTATAAGAATGTTGAATGCTTATTTCAGAAAGGCTTATACTATCCTTCTATTTCATTCTTTTATCATTATCTTCCATTTAAAGTACCGTTAACCCTTGAAAAAAGTACATTTAAAGTACAGTTGGGGGTTTGGGGTACCCTGTGCAGTCAAAAACCAACATACAATTTTGGACTCCCCAGAAACTTTGCTAATAGCCTACTGCTGACTGGAAGCTTTGCTGGTAATGAAGAGTTGATTAACACTTTTGTATGTTATATGTACTGTATTCTTACAGTAAAGTAAGCTAGAGAAAAGAAAATATGAAAATCATAAAGAAGAGAAAATACATTTAAAATACTATACCTGTATTTGTTGAAAAACATCTGGGTATAAATGGACCCACACAGTTCACATACATGTTGTGTTCAAGATCAACTGTATGTGGGATTTGGGAGCAGAGCTTTTTTTAAAATATTTATAAAATATTAAGCTGCTTGATTAGATTGGTGGATGTATCCATTGACCACTAGTTAGTTGCATGTTTTAACATTGGGCATATTCAGATGTTCGTGCAAAAAGAAGGACTTACTGAGGTTCCCTTGTTGTAGAATCTCTTATTCTCTACATCTTGTCAAAATCTTGTCAAATACTTCATAGACTTTGCATTGGGAACAAACTCACTTCCCACATTTTTCTCTTATTTATTCTTGCCTGAAATTTTAAGTTGAAAATAAAAACACATATATGAGAAACTAGAAGTGAAGGCTCCATTGTAAATAATTCCCACAGCATTCACAGTAACTGCAAGGAAACCTAAGACAATCAGAATAATAGTAACAGCTAACATTTGTGCTGTACGTGTTCAGAACACTTTACATTCCATTTACTAACTGGATTCTTAAGAGTAACTCATTAAAATACAGTTGACTCTTAACAGAGGTCTGAACTGCAGGTTCACTTACCATGCAGATTTTTTTCAATAAACATACTGAAAATTTTTTGGAGATTTGCAACAATTTGAAAAAAAGCTTTCTTTTCCCTGGCTTACTTTTATGTCAGAATACAGTATACAGTATATATAATGTACAAAATATGTGTCAATCAGCTTTATGTTACTGGTAAGGCTTCTGGTCAACAGTAAGCTATTAGTAGTTAACTTTTTGGGGAAGTACAAATTATACACGGACTTATGACTACATGGGGTTGGTGCCCCCACTCCAAAATTGTTGTAAGGGTCACTGTAGATGCTAGTATTTTTTGCTTTTTCTTCTGAAAGAACTGAGGTGCAGAAAGATCACAGCTACAACGTAGAATAGCTGTAATTGACATCCAGCGGTATGGCTCTCAACTCTGCAATCTGCTTTCCTGTTCATTTTGATGTGTCTGATTTTTATAGTCTTGAAATTGTACTGTTCATCCTTTATACTATGGTAGGCTTCAAATAATATTCCCCCAATCAGTTTAGGAATGGGTTTTTATCTCCTGTGATTATTGTTGATGACATCTGACAAAACAGTCCAACTCTCATCATTCCATTGGCTGGTTTACAAAGGCTTTTGGAACCTGCACTGTTGGTAGCAACCACGTAACCGTGTCTTCAGTCACTGTCTCTCATCTCTTGGTGGGAGGATGAATTCAGGTATCTTTTTGAGGAATGGGGTAATCTCCTTTAAGGCATTAGGGCAAACATGATATTCCTTTTTCTATTGAAGCACTTTAAAGATCAGTTTTTGTTGCTGGAGTGGTGATGGGTTGAGAGTGTTCATATTCTGTGTACATTATGTGCTTTTAATCCCTTACTTGCAATTTCAAAATCCTAAAATCTTTAAAACCAGAGGTTGTTTGTTGTTTTTTTTTTGTAAACTAGTGTGATGGGAAAATGACTGGAACTGGCTTGAGTATATGTATAGTTTATCATGCTCATACAAGTATCCCTGCATTTTGCTGCAGAAATAGTACTGTGTTTAATTATGGTATGTAACGCCCACCCAGCCCAGTATTCATGCAATGGACACTATATGTGCCATACTGCCTCTCTATATTCCAAAATGTTGTGAATTCTGGAACACACTTGGCCCCCGAATGTTTCCGATAAGGGATTTATGGGCCTGTGCTAAGGAGTTTGAGATAAATGATTTCACCAGAGACAGTATTCTATGAGAGTGGGAGGGTCTCTTCCCCCTCCTGTTCTTTTGAGTTTTTATCAAGAGTATCCATTTGATAAATGTAATTGCTGTGAATGTTGTAGTTATTTTAAGCTGAAATCAGAGGCAGTCATAACTGAAAGGGTTATATTTGGCTTCTAACAGGACTAGGTTCAGGTTCCAGCTCTGCCACTAAACTTAACTGAACAGCTACATGCAAGAGAATGAAACTGGATTATTGTCTAACCCCATACACAAAGGTAAACTTGAAATGGATCAAAGACCTGAATGTAAGTCATAAAACCATAAAACTTTAAAAGGAAAACATAGGCAAAAATCTCTTGAATATAAACATGAGTAACTTTTTCCTGAACACATCTCAAGCAAGGGAAACAAAATAAAAAATGAACAAATGGGACTACATCATGCTAAAAAGCTTCTGTACAGCAAAGGACACCATCAGCAAAACAAAAAGGCATCAGTATGGGAGAATATATTTGTAAATGACATACCCGACAAGGGGTTAACATCCAAAATATATAAAGAACTCACACACCTCAACAACCAAAAAGCAAATAAGCCTATTAAAAAATGGGCAGAGGATATGAAGAGATAATTCTCCAAAGAAGAAATTCAGATGGCCAACAGGCACATGAAAAGATGCGCCACACTGCTAATTATCAGGGAAATGCAAACTAAAACCACAATGAGTTATCACCTCACACCAGTAAGGATGGCCAAGATAGAAAAGAATAGGAACAACCTATGAGAGTGTGAAGTGTGACTATATATATGTATATATAGATCATTGTTATTCTGGGCAAACAAAATTATACATGCTTTGCAAATACTGCAGCTGGAAACAATGAAAGGTGTAAAATGATGCAAGAGAATTTACAGGGCATGCACACCAGAATGCATGGAAGTGCTCATAGTTGAGGTAGAAACCAGAAGATTTCATATTCTTAACAGCTATGTTAGAGAGGTAAAAATGTGAGCATGCCTATAAATATGACCAGGACGTTTTATTTAGATTTATACTAAAAAGATACTCTACCATTGTGTCTTCTATACAAACTTAGTTTGATAACTTTCCTTTTTTTTATATCAAATACTTAATGATAGATTAAAAAAAGAAAGAGAGCTACTTTCTCCATTTCATAAGGTTACCTGGGACCACCAGGTTACTATTTTATAAATGCTAAAGTTGAAAGTAGTCCTATAGGCTTTCCTTTAGGGTTCATTGAATAATTTACATACAGAATCTGTCCTTTTTAGTGTACATGGTACAATCCTGTGAGTTTTGACAAACAGAACCTCCACAACAATTAAGATACAGAGCATCTCCTGCTCCCCCTAAATCTCCTCGTTTATTTATATTAAACCCCTTTCCCCATTTTCAACACCCACCCCCACCACTGTACCACCTATCTTTTCTCTGTGGTTTTGCCTTTTTGAGAATGTCATTTAAATGGAATTGTGCAGTATTTAACTTTTTAAGCCTGGTTTCTCTCACTTCTCATAATGCATTTGTGTTAGATCCATTTTGTGTTAATTAGCAGTCTGTTCCTGTGTATTGCTGAGTATTGTCGCATAATATGGATTATGTACCTATTCACCATTTGTTTGGACATTTGTTAGGTTCACAGTTTTAGGCGATTAGAAATAAAACACCTATAAGCATTCACATACAAAAAAAAAAAAAAAAGAAAAGAATAGGAACAACAAATGCTTGTGAGGATGCATAGAAAGGGGAACCCACTGCTGGTGGGAATGTAATGTAGTTCAACCATGGTGGAAAGCAATATGGAGGTTCCTGAAAAAACTAAAAATAGAGATACCATTTGACCCAGGAATTCCACTCCTAGGTATTTACCCTAAGAATGCAGGATCCCAGTTTCAAAAGGACATATGTACCCCTGTTTATCACAGCACTATTTACAATGGCCAAGAAATGGAAGCAACCTAAGTGTCCATCAGTAGATGAATGGATAAAGAAGATGTGGCACATATACACAATGGAATATTATTCAGGCATAAGAAGAAAACAAATCCAACCATTTTCAACAACATGGATGGAGCTAGAGGGTGAAGTAAGCCAGGTGGAGAAAGACAAGTACCAAATTATTTCACTCATCTGTGGAGCATAAGAACAAAGCAAAAACTGAAGGAACAAAACAACAGCAGACTCAGAACCCAAGAATGGACTAACAGTTGCGAAAGGGAAAGGGGCTGGGAAGAGTGGGTGGGCAGGGAGGGATAAGGGGAATAAGGGGCATTACGATTTGCACACATAATGTAGGGGGGGCATGGGAATGCAGTATAGCACAGAGAAGACAAGTAGTGACTCTGGAGCCTCTTACTACACTGATGGACAGTGACTGTAATGGGGTATGTGGTGGGGACCTGATAATGGGGGGAATCTGGTAACCACAATGTTACTCATGTAATTGTATATTAATGATACCAAAAAAAATTTGTTAACTGTGTGTCCTTGGACAAATTTAACATCCTTAAAATTTAGCTCCTCCATTATATAAACGGGATAATAGCTACCTTACAGGATTGTTCTGAAGGGTTAGATTAGATCATCTAAATATCTGCCATAGTACTTGGACAGTGGTGGGTATTTAATAAAAATATTTCTTCCTCTTCATTTCTTTTTCCTGCCCCTAACTTCTAGTGTGAAATGCCTTTTTTTAATAGATTTAATTACTGTTCTAATAAAATCATAGCTCCGTATGGCAAGTTGCAGGCAGAGCTGATGTCACAAGTTTCTTATTGGACTTTTGTCTTTAGTTTTTATTTTGAAATAATTACAGAATGAGGCTGCTCTTTGGAGAATTATTTGTTGTCAGCAAGAGAAGATGCAGGCAGCCCAGTGAGGAAACTGTTGCAGTAGTGTGAGCAAGTGTGATGGCCCGGGGCAGTGGTGCTGAGGGGGGGAAACCCTGAGAGCACTTGCTCTTCTACCTAGGACAAGTTTAGTGGCAGAGCTGGAATCTGAACCTAGTCCTGTTAGAGGTCAAATCTAACCCTTTCAGTTATGACTGCCTCTGATTTCAGCTTAAAATAGCTACAATATTCACAGTAGCTAAACTTATCAAATGGATCCTCTTAATCAAAACTCAGAAGAACAGGAAGGGGGGAGCCCCTCCCACTCTTGTGGGATACCGTCTGGTGAAATCATTGGCCTTAGACTCCTTAGCACAGGCCCATAATCTGTTATGGAGAGAAGTTTTTGCCTCAAACTGAGCGGTGTTATTTAATACTTAATTTCCTTCCCCTCTTTCTGTCAGTCTGTGTTTCATGTGCTATGTTCTAGTATACATGAAGGTTTATGACTGTTTGTTATAGAACTGGATTATCTTCCCTCAAATATTCCTCTTTTACCAGTTAGTGTAGTTTGTCGCTTTGAAAAGACTACTGCTGTTCTTTTCTTCTTTGGAAATTCCACACTGTTGAAGAGTAAAAATTAAACGAGATAGTTCTTGTAAGTGAACATTGTATAGGAGATGCCAGAATTGTCTCTCTGTGCAGTCTCTTCTAATTTTTCTGTGTTCTTTAATAGTATAGGTTACAGGGTAGTTCTGTATTTTCTGGTATTTCATTATTGGTTTTTTCCTCCCTCAGTCATCCTGTCCCTTGTGTTTGGGACAGAACTTGGTTCATTCTGTTGTTCTTTTGCATTTACTGTTTGATTCCTTCAACAGTACCCTCTTCTTTCCAGTCTCTTTCTCTCTTTAAAAACCTACGTAGGGATTTCATTACTCTTTAATTATGTCTCCCTCTCCCATTTCAAATAGAACTTTGATGTGTAAATTTTTAATAGGTTTTGTTTAATAATCCATTCTCTTTCCAGTTGTAATTTGACTTACTTTTATAGTGACACATGGTGAAATGGATAAATCACATTTAAAATGAAAATTAAGAAAAATTGTATTCCTGGAACCCATTACTGGGTTATTTCTCCAGGAGGTGGTGGAAAGAATTCTGGGGCCTTTTTGGCAATGCACTATAGTGCTGTCCTCAGGATTAATGCCACTCTACTTCCCACTATTGGCAGATGGGCTCTTCTGATATTAGCTGCCACTTGTCTATATAAAGTAAGATTGAAAGATCATTTTAAAATTTTATGTAACTGTACAGACTTTCAGAATTGATAATTTGGAGGAAAAACATTTGTTATCCTCATGTTGATTTCTCTTTTCCTTAAGTTGAGGTTATTAGTATATGTTCTTAAATTTTTATTATTTACATGTTTATCTTTAAATGTGAAAAAACAATGTAATCTTTTATTAGGACCTGATACATTGCTCAGTGAATTAGGCTGTGAATAAGTATAGTGGATAAGTTCATTGGTTGTTTTACCATTGTTTGATAGATTGTCTTACTGATTTTCCCTTTTCAGTTAATGGCGAGTCACCGTGTGCTGCACCACCTGATGATGCTTCCAGCACGGGTCCTGCAGTGGCACCTGAAGAATCCGCTGCGTCTCCAGATTCCGCTAGTGCTGCTGCTGAGGATCCTCCTGTCCCAGAAACTCTGACTTCCTCAGAAAACAATGAATGTATTCTTCCTAACAGTGCAGCTTTTGGATCTGAAGCTAGAAGTACATTAAACTCTGCCACCTCTAATTCTGGAAATGGTTCTGCTTTTGAAGCAGCCAAATTAAGACAGCCAGATGGGTGTGTGGAGTCTGTGTGGCAGCAGTCTGGAAATGCCAGCACAGGGACTTTGCCATCAGGGTATGTTAGATGTTTGATTTACACTTAAGTAGCAACTTTGTGATTCTATATGACTATTGAATGTGTATATCAAAAATTTCCCTTGTCCAGTAATTTGAAATCTGATGCATACCATTTGTTCATTTTCTACCAACCAAGTACTTTTTAAAATGAAGAAAAATTGCCCATCTAGTTGAAGTATGTGCAGTATGAAGGGGAAAGAAGAAAACCTAATGTTAATTTGCAAGACCCTCTTGATGTGATTCTTGGGAATAGAGTGACTCCAATGCTGTACACAACACCTCAGCTCTGTTGCTCCCTTTGTGGTCCACTGCACAGGCCCCATGGTTGAGAAGAGGTAGCTGTCCTTTTCCTCAGGAACACTGCATGCTGGGCAAGGTCCCTAATCGTGCTGATTAGCTTTGTTACAAACTTAGGTTCTTGGGTGTGGCTGAGGAATTTTTAATCTCCTTTAAATTTCCCACTCTAATTATTCAGCTTCTCAAGATTTTCTGTAAAGAGCATTCTGTGTGTGTATTCCACTTGGTCATCTCTCCTGTATTTACTTACCAGTTTTCTTTGATCCTACTTGTCTCTAATGATACCAGTATTAATGACTCATTGTCTCTGCATTGAAGAAACCTGTTTAGTGGCTCAGAATTGTAAATATATGTAATACACAATTTGAAAATGCTGTCATAAAAGTGTGGACTCAGTGCTTTCCTATGCAGAATGCCTGCTCTTCTCAAAGTCTCTGTCTTCCTGTCCTCCTTCCCTCCCCACAGTCACTATGTTCATACCTCTCTCTGTTCCTTTCTGAACTGCTTTTTCTCAGTGCTCTTTGCCCAAGTCCTTGGCTTGGGTAACTGAGTTAGCAGTTTTCAAATCTCCCTCATCTTCCTCTTTCTTCAGAAGTCTTTCTTAGTTCCTTTGTTTCCTCAGTTAGTTAGGTAACCAGACAGTAGAATCACAGTTTAGCATCATGAGTGTTTGCAGGAAAAATGCTATAGCCTGGAGATGATTGTTATGTCAATCAGGACTTCACATAAAGAACTTTGCATTTGCTCTAACTTTTGTGTAAAATGTTACGCCTGATATCTGCATGATTCATATTGCAGTTTCTGCTCAAATGTACCTCATCCAGAGTCCTTCCTGATGCCCCCTGTCCACATCAGGCCACTTTGCCCTCATCTCCTTACCCTCCTTTTTTACCCCAGCCTTTGGTTTTTAACTTCACCAGGTATCCAGAAATAATTAAGGAATTTTATAGTAAACCCCCATATATCTGCCATTAGATTCTGTAACCATTTTATTCTCTCACTTTATCTCACACCTCTTCATCTCTATCCATCCAATTTTTAAATGCAGTTCAGTAAGTTGCAAATATCAATACATTTGCCCCTCAACACTTCAGCTTGCAATCATTAACTATAATTCAGTATTTGTTTAAAGTTTTTTAGGTAAAGTTTACATAGAAAGATATGCACAGGCCCTATGTACCGTTTTGAGGGTTTTTGACAAATGCATACACCCATTAACACAAACCCTTATCAAGATAGTATTACCATTACCCAATAAAGTTCCCTCAAGCCCCTTTCTCAGTCAATCCCTGTCCCTACTTCTAGAGAGGCAGTCACTATTCTTTTTTCCACCATAGATTAAAGATTAGTTTTCCCTGTTATAGAACTTAATGTAAGTGGAATCAGTATGAACTCTCTTGATTCAGGGTCTTTTAGTCAGCATGATGTATCTTGTATTATTTTTTTTTATAACACTTAAATCACCATGTGACATAGATTTGTGTGTTATTGCCAGTTTTCTCTCCACTTGACAGAAGAGGGGACTTTATTTTGTCCCTTTCTGTATTCCTTATCCCTAAAACTGTGCCTGCCATATAGCAGTTACTCAAATACTTGCTAGTGAAGTGAACTGGTGCTGAATAAAATGATTTTTGCCTGATATCTGCATGATTCATATTGCAGTTTCTGCTCAAATGTACCTCATCCAGAGTCCTTCCTGATGCCCCCTGTCCACATCAGGCCACTTTGCCCTCATCTCCTTACCCTCCTTTTTTACCCCAGCCTTTGGTTTTTAACTTCACCAGGTATCCAGAAATAATTAAGGAATTTTATAGTAAACCCCCATATATCTGCCATTAGATTCTGTAACCATTTTATTCTCTCACTTTATCTCACACCTCTTCATCTCTATCCATCCAATTTTTAAATGCAGTTCAGTAAGTTGCAAATATCAATACATTTGCCCCTCAACACTTCAGCTTGCAATCATTAACTATAATTCAGTATTTGTTTAAAGTTTTTTAGGTAAAGTTTACATAGAAAGATATGCACAGGCCCTATGTACCGTTTTGAGGGTTTTTGACAAATGCATACACCCATTAACACAAACCCTTATCAAGATAGTATTACCATTACCCAATAAAGTTCCCTCAAGCCCCTTTCTCAGTCAATCCCTGTCCCTACTTCTAGAGAGGCAGTCACTATTCTTTTTTCCACCATAGATTAAAGATTAGTTTTCCCTGTTATAGAACTTAATGTAAGTGGAATCAGTATGAACTCTCTTGATTCAGGGTCTTTTAGTCAGCATGATGTATCTTGTATTATTTTTTTTTATAACACTTAAATCACCATGTGACATAGATTTGTGTGTTATTGCCAGTTTTCTCTCCACTTGACAGAAGAGGGGACTTTATTTTGTCCCTTTCTGTATTCCTTATCCCTAAAACTGTGCCTGCCATATAGCAGTTACTCAAATACTTGCTAGTGAAGTGAACTGGTGCTGAATAAAATGATTTTGAGTGAGTGAGCAACTGGGCAAAGGCCCTGGCTTGTAAATGCTCCTGAGGAAATGATTAACAAGATCAGAACCTACTGAAAAACTCAAGTAAGGTAACAACTGAATGGGGCCCATTCAATTTAGCAACAAAGAGGTTACTGTTGACCTTTGACAAAGTGGTTTCTGAGAAATAGAGTTGTATTCAAATTACTGCCCTGATGGAGTGAAGGGAGGGGTAAAAGTGGGATAGAAAACTCTTGTAAAGAGAGAACTAATGTATCAAAGTTCTCCCTTGTGAATACACAGGGAAACATGAATGAATGTTGGTAGAAGTGAGCAAGAAAAGATACAGAACTGCTGGGTAGCTTTTTTGTTTTATAATGCGAAAGACTTAAAGGATGGTCAGTTGCTGATGGGCACAGAGATGAGCAGTACACTAGAGAAAGAGGTAACTGTTGGGTCATGGTTTATGAGAAGGCAAGACTTACTATGTATCCTGTTATCCAAGTTTGAAAGCAGTAATTATGCAATCAGTAGCTAAAATCTGTAATTTTTTTTTACTGTAATATATTACACAAATTCTTCCACATTTCCTTTTCTATTTTGACAAGGTCTTTGTTCAGTAGAAGGTTTTGAAAACTTACATATAATGTCTTAGTGAGACAGGGAGACTATATGTAAATAGTAGAAAGGAGAATATTATGGTTGAAGGGTAAGTGTGGCAGTTATATTAGCACTTGGTGCCATGAAATTGAAGAATTCAATTCCAAAGTCTCATCAGTCAGCCAGCTGACTTGCTCCTGTTTGGAGGGTATTCATGAATTTCCACCACTGGGATAATCTAGTCTCTGGCCAGTTCCAGCCCATTACTTTTATTTATTTTTTTATTTTATTAAGGTATGATTGATATACACTCTTAGGAAGGTTTCACATGAAAAAACAATGTGGTTACTACATTTACCCATATTATCAAGTCCCCACCCATACCGCAATGCAGTCACTGTCCATCAGTGCAGCAAGTTACCAGAGATACACTATGTCCCTTCTCTGTGGTACACTGTTCTCCCCGTGATCCCCCACACCATGTGTACTAAGCATAATACCCCTCAGTTCCCTTCTCCCTCCCTTCCCACCTGCCCTCCCACCAGTCTAGAAAGTGTGGTAACCACTAGTTCATTCTTGGAGTCTCAGAGTCTGATGCCATTTTGTTCCTTCAGTTTTGCGTCATTGTTATACTCCACAAATGAGGGAAATCATTTGGCATTTGTCTTTCCCGCCTGGCTTATTTCACTGAGCATAATGTCCTCCAGCTCCATCCATGTTGTTGCGAATGGTAGGATTTGTTTCTTTCTTATGGCTGAATAGTATTCCATTGTATGTATATATGTACCATATCTTCTTTATCCATTCATCTACAGATGGACACTTAGGTTGCTTCCATATCTTAGCTATTGTAAAAAATGCATCCATGAACATAGGGGTGCATATACCTTTTTGAATCTGAGAAGTTGCATTCTTTGGGTATATTCGAAGGGGTGGGATTCCGGGGTCAAATGGTATTTCTATTTTTAGTTTTTTGAGGAATCTCCATATTGCTTTCCACAATGGTTGAACTAGCTTACATTCCCACCAGCAGTGCAGGAGGGTTCCCCTTTCTCTGCATCCTCATGAACATTTGTTGTTCTTAGTCTTTTCAATGTTGGCCAACCTTACTGCTGTGAGGTGATATCTCATTGTGGTTTTAATTTGCATTTCCCTGATGATTAGTGATGTGGAACATCTTTTCATGTGTCTGTTGGCCATCTGAATTTCTTCTTTGGAGAATTGTCTCTTCATATCCTCTGCCCATTTGTTAATTGGGTTATTTGCTTTTTGGGTGTTGAGGTGTGTAAGTTCTTTATATATTTTGGATGTCAACCCCTTGTTGGATATGTCATTTACAAATATATTCTCCCATAGTGTAGGATGCTTTTTTGTTTTGTTGATGATGTCCTTTGCCGTACAAAAACTTTTTAGTTTGATGTAGTCCCATGAGTTCATTTTTGCTTTTGCTTCCCTTTCTTGAGGAGATGGGTTCAGGAAGAAGTTGCTCATGCTTATATTAAAGAGATGTTTGCCTATGTTGTCTTCTAAGAGTTTTATGGTTTCATGACTTACATTTAAGCCTTTAATCCATTTTGAGTTTACTTTTGTGTATGGAGTTAAACAATAATCCAGTTTCATTC